AGCTTTGATTTTTTTCACCAGAAAAGTGTGTGAATCACAAGAGGGCGAGTTTGAGGGACCTGCCAATTCACTGTTTGACTTTGTAGGAAAGAAAAGTAGCGGAAACTGAATATTTAAATGTTTTAACTTTCCCATGAAATAACTTTTCTCAGAACCATTCCATCCGACTCTGAAGAATTTTGGAAAATTGCTTACGGAGTGAAAACCGCAACAGGCAATAAAATGTTTGGAAATACAAGTAAATTCATATTATTATTCGTGCCGCACTCACATGCTTTGTTGAGCTCGTTTTTTCCGTAATGAATTCAACAAAAACTAAGATTCGAAATAGGATGAGGTTAGAAAGCCTTAATTCAATAGTTCGAATAAAGTGTTATATGAAGGCTAATAGTTTCTGCTGCAAAAAGTTTCTAATATCAAAAGTATGTTATCAAGGTTGATAGCTCAATATATGACAACAACAGAAATGTAAATGATTCATACACTATAGGTGATTTTGAAAAAATTGTAGAAATAGCTGATCTCCTCATTATAGGTTTTTATTTTACTTTTAGCGCCGAGCGCTTAAAAGCGGATTGTGCGATTAATCAATTAATATGAGTTATAATAAGTTTAATAATTGCGCAGTACTATTGTAAAATGTGTTCAAACAAATATTTTTTAAAAGTATGCGTATTTAAAAAAAAAATATTTGTACGTCTCTATTATAAAAGTGATTTTGTTTGAGCTGTTAGAAATGAAAGTAGTGTAAGTCCATTTTTGCATATATCGAGATATTTAAAAGTTTGCCTTCGATTAATTTTAAAAATGCTGGTAAAGGTTAATACATCCAGGTGATGTTTTTTTAAGTGCTATTACAGCAAATATTATTATGCAATAATTAATATTAAAGTTGTTAACGAAACTAAGATAGTTTTTAACCCCGAATGGACTTGCACCACTTTCAAAAATAACAAATTCCAAAACAAAAATGAGGAAAAGTTTAAGTCCATGTCTCAACACCCTTTATGGAAGTTTTATTTGTTAAAAAATCAAAATTTATGTATTTATTTTTATACTTAAGAAAATAATAACTAAAACAAGTTAATAAAGGCTGGTTTTCATTAGGTCAAAATCACTGACATCAAAAACTGCCTTCATCTGACAGCTGTTCATTTGATGTCAAATGCGTTTTCATTACATTTTAAAAACTGACCAAATGTCGATACCGCAGTGCATGTCAAAGACTGTCGTCAAATTTCGGTGTCAGATGATTGACATTCCGTTTTCATTACTCATGTCAAATGTGATGTTAAATTTTTACAAAAAGTATAGAATACCGCCCGTTTAGCTATAGACAAACCAAAAATGTAATTGGATAGAACTCTTCATGCTGATTTTCACCTTACCAAAATTATTTTGCGCAAGTAAAAAATTAAGAAGATATAGTAGGTTAAGTTAAATTTTTCGATATTTTGAAATATCAAAATCTTATGAGCTACATAACCCATTAAACAACTAATGATGCCAAAATAAAGATGATTAGTTTATCTTTCAGTTGATGTACATAATTTTTCTGATTTTCTATATTTTTGAGTCAGAAATACTAAAAAACAAAAAAATTTAATTTTTTCATTGAATTACCTTTTTTGAAGAAAATTGCATAATTAATGCTACAGAAATTTATATTATTAAGAAAGTACAAGTTATTATCTTATATAGAAAGGTTTATAGGGCAAAATTTAACGAAAGTAGTGGAAAAAATCGAAATTGTATATATATTTTCTTTAAATATCGTTTACCAAAAATTTGTTCTGAAAAATGGTTATAGTAAATACGTCGTAAAAAGCTATTAAAATTATCTTTGAATTGAATTTAATGCTTTTCTAATCGGTCAAGTAGTTTCCGAGATATTAAACATATGAGAAATAGGAAAGTTGAAGTTTAACCTGTTATATTTTCTTTGTTTTTTACTTGCCCCAAATAATTATGGTATGGTTGAAATCAGCGTGAAAAGTTCTATCGATCTGCATTTTTGGTTTTTTTTTGTAGCTAAACGGTCCGTATTGTAGCTAGAATCAGCTGTTCGCATGGCAAACGAAATCAAAATTGCCAACATGTTGGCAAATACATTTTGGTTGTCAAATGCTGCCACATCAGCGGCGAGGGCCGTTTTCATTTGGATGTCATTTTATATCACCGTGCGTGGTGATATATGACAACAAACGCAAATGACACCAGATGACAACCCGTTTTCATTATTTTGACAACATTTGGCGTCAAATATGACCTAATGAAAACCAGGCTTAACTTAAACAAAAAAAAAGGTAAGAAAAGATTGTGATTATTATGTCAAATGAACGTAAAATTTATATTCTTATCTTTCAATTTCAAAGTAAAAAAATGCAAGGAAGGCTTTATTGGCATGTCTAATTTACATTTAGACTAGTGAAGACTTCATGGTGAATAGGCGGTATGAAAGGAAGTAAGCTCATCATGTCTGCGTATATCTCCTTTGTAACAGGTCTAGGCGTTCTATATAGTGGCAACATAGTAATCTTGCTATGATATTTCGGTCTTCCCCTTTTCCCAAATAGAAAAATTGCTTTAAATGGAGCGCTTGGTTCCATAGTAATTTCATAAAAAATGTTGTGTGGCTCGTCTCTTCCGAATCTCATCCAGCATATTTGCAACCAATTTACAGTTTCTCCGTCCATATTTTTCTTTCTATTTGATATAGCTTTTTCTAGAGCTTCTGTAGATACAAAATCTTCTCGTTTCATTTGATGCAAAATAAAGCTATTTTTCTTCCGACAAGTTTGTATTGTAGTATAATAGCTTTGAGCAGTATACAGTTGTTCCTTTTTCTTTAACGCTGTTTCCACTACCCCAAAATCTCTGTATTTGGACAAAAGAGAAGGCACGCTCCTGATATTCACACTCGCTACAATTGTTATAGATTTATGTTCTTTGTTTACACTTTTGGTTTTAAATGTTCCTATTTGCCAAAGATCTGCGTAATCGTAACAATCAATAATAATAGCGATCAAAATGTTGTTTCAATTATGATCATTACGAATGGACTTAAACCACTTTCAAACAAAAACATTTCTGCGATAAGATTGTAAAGTCAACTTGTTTTGATTATTTTTTTAAGAAATTTTGCTCCATGGAATGTAATTTAATAAACATAAAAAGATTGTGGCTATACCTAACTAAAACAGTAATTAACTCATTTTTTCCAAAAGTGGACTTACACCACTTTCATTTATAACAGCTCATTTATTATTACCCTCTGAAGATATTATATTCGTTTTTGGTTTTAAAAACTATATTATAACAAGGCCTCATTTTTAAAATAAAAGATTTGTTAAATCGATTTCATGAATTTTATTAGAAAAAAATTGTAGATTTTTTTAAACAATCTGGACACACTGTTATAGACAACTATTAGAACCAGTGTTGCCGCGACGTCATGACAAAATGTATCATAAAAAAACAAAGAAATGGATCAAATGTATTACTAATTTTTTTTAGGTAACAAAGTATTAAACTTGAAAAAAACTGTTAAAAAATGCTATTTGGTTTCATACAACTTCTTTTTATTCAATAACCAAACATCATGTAATGCACACATACATATCGTCGTTTACAAGTACAAAACCACGTATCAACAAAATGAAAAACCTCGTATGTGAGTTCGGAAAAATTTTAGAAGTGAGAGTAAAACTAAATATACCTTCAGTGTCTACTTTATCTTGACTATTAATATGCTCTGTTATATTCTCAACAGTTTGTAATGAAAATCAATTTCTCTTTTATATTGGATAAATTTTACATCTGAAAATATACGCTCTGCAGCCGCAAGTAAATTAAATTAAAAATGCATGCAGTCAGCTTATTTGACCCCAAAACGTCTAGATCGGCGATACCCACCAATCATTATTTGTCCATGGAGCAATACCTTGCAGCCGGATTGCTCCGCATCCTTCTTCTCCGGGCGGGCGTAGAGCCCAACCCCGGACCTGAAATTTACTTCTGCTGTGTTTGCCAGAATCNTTCGGTTAGGTGCAACTCCTGCAACGGGTGGAGTCACCTAAGAACCTGCTCTGGCCTTAGGTCTCACCGGGAGTAGACCACAAACTTTGTGGCTCCCTGTTGCTCAAGCCAAATGGCACAATCAGCCTCCACGGCTACCCACTCGCGTAATGCACGGGTGCGACCTAGCACCCGAAGAGCCTGCACGGCCCCTAGAAGCTCCCCTGAGCAACAGCAAACCTCCCAACACACCCCACCCACACAACCTACCGGCCGGTCCCACTCGCGAGCGCGAGCCAACCAGCAGCTACTGGTTGCCCACACCATCTGCTCCGTGTGCCAGAACAGAATATACCGGAATGTGACATCAGTCAAATGCAACACATGCCTTGGCTGGTGCCACTTCCGGCTATGTTCTGGTCTACGCACCACTCGCGAGTGGACTACAAACTACAGCGCCCCTTGCTGTAGTGCACCGCCGGCGCAGACAACAACGCCCATATCGCAGCCACCTACCATCAGGCTGCAACAGCAACTGCGTCAGGCGCAACAGGCCCAAGGTAGGCCCCACACTTCCCTCACCCCCCGTATCGCGACCAGCCTCCCAAGGCATACGAACGTACTCCAACTCAACTGCAACGGACTCCAGAGCAAGATTGAGGAGATAGCAGTCTTCATGGGTCGGCACGGCATATTGATAGCTGCGGTCCAAGAAACGAAGTTGCACAGCAACTCAACTCTGTTGGGTTGCGCCGCCTACAATGTGCTCCGTAAAGATCGCGAGCGAGATAATGGTGGAGGACTAGCGTTCATTCTACACCACACAGTGCAGTATCGGCTAATCGAAGAAGACATCGACCCAAGGGACACTACCCTAGAATGTCAGGGCATAGCTGTCCGGTCAGGCGATGTCGAGCTCGAAATATTTAACGTGTACATACCCCCTGTCACCTGCTGCCCGGCTGGATATCTCCCTGACATAGGTGCGCTACTCAGAGGCGAAAACCGATTGGTAGTAGGTGACTTCAATGCGCACCACGATCTTTGGCACTCAAGCCTGGCCAATGATCGGAGGGGAAACAGTTTGGCTGAGCAGATAGACGATTCGACATTCTGCACCATGAACGACGACGCCCCCACCAGGATTGTGGGCAGCTGCAGCAGCTCGCCAGACGTAACAATTGCTAGCGCTGGTCTGATAAATAGCATATCATGGCGACCTATGCTAACGTTAGCATCAGACCATCTGCCCATAATCATCTCGATCAATAAGCCCACCGACTTTGCTCCCGCGGATCACCGAACCTACACCAACTTCAACAAAGCTGATTGGAACGGCTTCGCGGAAGTTACCGAGAGCAGCTTCGCCGCCCTCCCCACACCCACAGACGTACATGCTGGCGAACGCCAGTTCCGCAAGGTAGTCACAGCCGCAGCAGCTCGCTTCATACCGTCCGGACGCATCGCGGAAGTCCGCCCAAATTTCCCGGCTGAAGCAGCTGTACTAGCAAATGAGCGTGACCACCTACGCCAGGTCGACCCCGGGGACCCTCGCTTGAGGGAACTTAATTTGGAGATTCGGCAACTGGTAAATCAACACAAGCGGACAAAGTGGGAAGAGCACTTGAAGGCCTGTAACTTCACCTCTGGTGTGAGTAAGCTCTGGTCAACCGTGAGGTCCTTGTCCAACCCGACGAAGCGTGATGACAGAGTGGAAATTTCATTCGAAGGTCACGCCTCATCGGACCCGAAGAAATGCGCGAACTATTTCAGTCGGCAATTCACACTGCATCCTTCGGTAGACAAGGCCAAACGTCGAGTGACCAGGAGGCTGCACAAACTGCCCAAAAACGATGCACCACTTGTTTTCACCAGCGGTGAAGTGAAGGGGGTCATCGGGAAGGCGAAAGCCTCCAAAGCCATTGGACCCGACGGAATCTGTATGCTGATGTTGAAACATTTGGGGCCTGTGGGAGTAGCATACCTCACGGAGGTCCTCAATTTGTCTATGACCACTCTCATCATTCCTGATGTGTGGAAATCAGGGAGAGTGGTCCCACTGCTGAAACCGGGGAAGCCCGCCAACAGAGGAGACTCTTATCGCCCGATAACGCTCCTTTCCCCGGTCGCGAAGACACTTGAGGCCCTGCTGCTCCCATACTTCACCTGCCACCTAACCCCAGCGAAACATCAGCATGGCTTCCGTAAAGTGCACAGCACAACAACAGCACTTAACGCCATAAACACCCAGATAACCCGCGGCCTAAATCGAAACCGCCCCTGTGAGAGAACTGTCCTAGTAGCGCTGGACTTGTCAAAGGCGTTTGACACCGTCTGCCATTCCACGCTGCTAGAAGACATTGAGGCCTCCTCTCTCCCACAGGGACTGAAGCGATGGTCGGCGAATTATATGAGTGGTCGACAATCATCAGTAATCTTCAGAGATCAAACCTCGAAACCAAGAAGAATAAAACAAGGGGTTCCACAAGGTGGTGTTCTCTCCCCCTTACTTTTTAACTTCTATATCTCGAAACTCCCCCAGCCACCTGAAGGAGTTTCCCTGATCTCGTACGCTGATGACTGTTCGATTTTGGCGTCTGGGAATGGAATTGATGACCTCTGCTCAAAAGTAAACGGCTATCTCTCCAGCCTTTCTCGCTTCTTCACTGCAAGGAGCCTAACCCTCTCCCCAACGAAATCAACGGCGACCCTCTTCACCACCTGGACGAAGGAGGTCAGGCTTGAATTAGGCATTCACGTCGACGGCACACCAATACCGACGGTGAACAACCCGAAAATTTTAGGGGTTACCTTTGATAGCCTGCTCTCTTTCTCCGCGCACACAACCGCAGTTGTCAACAAAGTACAGAGCCGCAACAAGGTCCTCAAGTCGCTCGCCGGCAGCACTTGGGGCAAAGACAAAGAAACGTTGCTGGCAACATACAAGGCAATTGGCCGGCCGGTTCTAAATTATGCTGCGCCAGTTTGGACGCCGGGGACTAGTTGGACGCAGTGGACGAAGCTACAGACTTGTCAGAACGCCGCACTCCGGACAGCGACTGGGTGCCTTCTGATGACGCCTGAGCATCACCTACACAGTGAGGCCCAAGTGCTCCCCGTAAGGGAACACAACAAGATGCTCTGTAAGCAGTTTCTTGTGGGGTGTCACAGAAGTGAACACCCCAACAGACCACTGCTGGAGGAGGAGCCTCCGCCCAGGCACGTCAGGGGGCACCTATTCATGTACAAGGACGCAGTCCAGACCTACACAGACCAACCACTGGACCTAATGACGTACAGACGAGCGATTAACGACATTCATAGGGAGTCTGTCTCCACCTACCTCGACTCCCGGCCTAGGAATGTCGTTATCGGAGCCCAATCACCACCTGTGGAAGAGACGGAGCTTCAACTACCTAGAGAGACCCGCGTTACCCTGGCTCAGTTACGATCTGGATACTGTAGCCGCCTAAACAGCTACCTGTCCAGACTCGACCCAAACATCCCAAATGAGTGCCCGGCATGTGGAGACTCCCCCATGACACCAACCACCTCTTCACATGCCAGCTCAATCCGACTCAACTAACACCCCCTCTCCCTTTGGTCCGACCCCATCGAAACAGCTCGTTTCCTGGGCCTACCGTTAGTTGAGCTTGACGATAATGATTAAAAGTTGACCCGAAACAGGCGGGGCTTAGTAGTGCCGCTACAACAACAACAACAACCCCAAAACGTTTAAATATTTTCGACCAAATTTTAAAGCTGCTACTGCATACATATGTATAAATTTTCGGAAAATGTTTAGTTGTTGGCCCACCGTTTTGGGGTGCGTGGCGGAGGGGGCGTGGCCCCCTAACTGTCCCCCCCCCCCATTCGAAAAGGGGACAGTTCCCACTTTACGAAAAGCCGCGCCCCTCCTTTCGGGAACTCCCACAGATACCTAGGGAACCGTTTGAAAATGTGGAAAAAAGTTATAAAAAATTTCACTAAAAATATTGTTATATTAAAAAAACGCGGCAGGTAATAATGTAATAGTAATAGTAATATGATAATATTTTGGCGTAGAACGTATTTCTGCGTTGGCGGCCTTCGGCCGCACTTAGGGATTATAACCCTCAGTAAGTAAAATTCTCCTTTTTGTGTTGCCAAAGGGTGTTGAACACCTTTTGCAGAAAACACCTTTCTGCGTAGGCGGCTTTCGGCCGCACTTAGGGACTATAACCCTCACTTAGTAGAATTCTCCTTTCTGTGTTGCCAAAGAAGGGGGCTGAACACATTTCGCAGAGCACACGTTTCAGCGTAGGCGGCCTTCGGCCGCACTTAAGGATTATAACCCTCAGTAAGTAGAATTCTCCTTTCTGTGTTGCCAAAGAAGGGCGGCTGAACACCTCTTGCAGAGAACACATTTCATACATATTTTCCATGCAAAGGTTTAAATTTGTAATGTTTTTCACATTTGAGTAACCAAAATAAATTTGCGTGCGTGATTTTCCAGAGTTGCATTTCTGTCAAATTTCAGAAGTTGAGCAAAATTTGGGCATAAATGCAGAATAGCTTCGATTCTCAAATTAAAAATAAAATTATAGTTTAAAAAACTAAAACCTCTATTATAATTTCCATTCGTACTGTGATAAGGTATGTAAATTGAGAACAGGTATCGCTGCATCTTTTAGGCGCATCAATATTACATACTTACATACCGAGCTAATAAAAGGGAGGTATAAACATATGGGGATCGATAGAGATCATTGAGGTGCGTATAACAGTATATTTCTTTTCTTGCGGAACCAACAACTACAAAAGTTATTAAGGGTCAAATATTTTAAATCAAAATTTCTTAAAACGAATGTATGGATTTTAAAAGTTTTGGTTTCAATCGATAGCAAATTTAGTTCCCTGTAATTTGATATACATACTTTATATATGCCTTGTTTAGTTTTCACAAAAATCGAATTAATGTACGCAGAAAGGAATTCCGCTTCTCTTCGGCGGCAACACAGAAAGGAAAATTCTACTTAGGGAGGATTATATTTATTTATTTATTTATTATGGGGAATTTATTTATTATGGGGAATCAAATTTCCTATCAAATGTGATCAATCCGTGCATTCGTTTTCAAAAAATGTTGATTTAAAGAATTGTTTAATTTGAACTTTGACTCCTAATAACGTCTGTAGTTGTTGTTTCCACAAAAAATAAATATACCGTTATGTTCAGCTAGATCATCTCTATCGACCCCAATATTTATTTTTTTTATTTGAAAATCGGAGCTATTCTGCATTTGTTCCAAAATTCTAATTCATAGTCGCGCCAGAATGTCAAATGAGCACAAACGTCAAATCGAAATGTCACGCCAACACAAATCTTGGAATTTGAGTTAGCTTTTTACGCACGCCGGTCAATTTCGGTTGGTCCCACACAAGTTGTATGTGCATGAGAAATTTTTGACAGTAAACTGTCGGCGTGCGTGAATATTAGGTTGGCCTGTTATACTGGGTTATATCTTAATTTCTTTTGTCTCTCATCCTTCTTGTATATTTTGGAGTTTGACAGCTGAACCCAGCCATTTAATTTGCATATCGATGGCTGTGTGGAACATCGACCTATCTCGGCAGCCAGTTCACACACACCCTATCTCAGAAAACTTTTGAAGAACGCCCTATTTCAGAATTTTATTGAAAAACATCCTTTCTCAGAATTTGGTTGAATATCGTCCTATCTCAGATTTCGGTTCAAAAATACCCTATCCCAAACGAAAATACATTGAAAATAAGCTGAGATAGGGCGTTTTTGAATCAAATTCTGAAGTAGGGCGTTCTTGAAAAGTTTTTTGAGATAGAGCGTTGTTGAAAAATTTTCTGATAGGGCGTTTTCGAACCGGCTGCCGAGATAGGTCGACTTCCACTCAGCCATCGATATGCAACCAAAGGCAGACGCGTGATGATGAAGGTGTTTTTATTCAATAAATTGTGATTAATTCGTTAAAATTAAAGTGATAAAGAAAGTTATAACTGATAGAATATAGTGTAAAATGAAGGGAATATAAAAATGTATTGGTAAACTGGCTGCCTTAAGGAAAATAGGAGTGATAAATATAAGTATCTCGCGAAATGAGCGAAAAATTAAAGTATCTTCCGAAAATTTCCACAAACACGTATCACTTTTGAAGTAAATGGATCCAAACGGCAACACTGATTGGACCACCTCTACCTCCCCATATTTTCCTTAATTCCTTACACCGGGTTACATTTCTAAAATTTTCCCAAATAAACAATACCCTTGATACAAATATAAATTTTTTTGTGTGATGAACAGTACCCAACCAAACCTATAAAGCAATTATTTTTTTACATTTTTCTGTTTAATATTTATTTTTATCGCACGCTTCATAGTGACGTACTACATGTTTATTTGTATGTATGTATGTATGTACAATTATTATGAGATTAAAATTTGATATTACAAAAGGCGCAATAGAAATTTGCTACATAGAATACACACGGAACTTTTAATTTGAATAATACATTGTTGGACACATCACCAGTTTGGGGTAATTTGAGAAAAAAAACACCAATCTAACTTCGTCACCCTCGACAAACTGAAGATAAATGGTCTAATGAACTCAACTAACCTGATTGTTTTCAGTCATTTTAGGCGCGTCTTTCGCTCATTCACCGCCGTCGACGCGAGAAAGACGGCCTCAGCTAGTTTGAAAATTAAATAATCACTTATTGGCTTAATATTCGCTATATTAATTCACTATTCAATAATGTTTTTCAGTATAAAACTATGATGCCCAAAAAACACAAATGATGTAACCAAAAATCTCCGTCGAATTCTGCTTGACAGTAGAAATGTCAATTTTAGACAGCGAAATGAAATGCGCTCGTTAATCTTGGTAATCAATTACCAACACAAAAGTTGTGTTTTTGGGTTATCCAGCTCCGTATGCCGATCATTTCTCACCAAAACGAACTCAAACATTTTATTAGGGTGGCAGCACTAATTTTATACTATTAGCAAGAGGAAGACGAAATTATAAAATTGAACTCACTAAATGCGGAAAAGTACATTCAAATGAAATAGTATTCAATTAAATAAATATTCAACATAAAGGGTATTTTTTTGAACCAAGTTAAGATAAACAAATGGCAGAATATATGTTTGTGTATACATTCATTTGTCAGTGTTACCAAACCATGCAAACAAATTATCAATGAAACCCAAGGCTCTCAGCCTAAACCTCATGAACCAAAAATACAAGATCACGTAAGAACGCGACGTTGTATTTGTAACTGGTTTTGAGAAAAAAGTTTGCGAAAGCGGGTTCGTCAGCTGAGCGTTTGTTTACATCACAAGCACCACTATTTTACACTTTTATTCAAGTAAAGAAGAGTTAATTCAACATGACAACACATTTTAAAGCATTTTGTTGCATCATTTTACCTAAATTGTGCGTTTAAAGTGGCTGACAATAATTTTGGTTTTCGTTAGCGTTCTTTGCTTTGTTTACTTTTCGCTCGTTTTCCAGTGAAACAAGATGGCGTAGAACCCGCTAAAAAAATCGACTTTTTTCACTCTCTTGTTCTTACGTGATTTTGTGTCTTTCGTTCATGCCTAATCATGTATCTCGAAGCGAACGTTCGTTTCGTCTGCTAGACGTTTCGTTCGTGTGTTGGTAGTATGTAAGTCGAAATCGTCTGGCGGCACGAAAACAGCTGATCGTTACGTAGTTTTCGTCTAGTTTGAAATTTTTTAAGGCGAATAGAAGACGAAAGTGAGACAACAATCGTTGAAAACAGACGAAAGGTTATTAGTGATCGTTCAGATGGAGGGTTCTGCCAGGAAAAGTAAGAAAATAAAAAAATATAACTTAGTTTAAGGAAATATATTAATATTTATGCTTGTAGCGCTGAAAAAAACTACAACCACTCAATTTGAAGTACTGGTAAAAGAAATGGAGAGAAATCTTGACCTGGCCAGAGGTGTTGCAGTGTTTGGATCTGATCGTGGAAGGGTAGAGGAGCGGTGGGAGGAAATTATGAGGAAAATTAATTCTCATGGTCCACCTACAAGAACGGCCGTCGAATGGAAGAAAGTAAGCATATGTACATACATTGTATGTGGTAGATAAATGCTTGCGTACTATTTCCACTTTACTGACATTGAATTTTATTTTATTTTATGGGTAGATTATCGATAGCAATCGAACTTCAGTTGCGTTGCTAGTTGCCAAAACGATATTACAGATGGCAACTGGCAACTTTCAACTGACAACTGCAGTTGCTACATAATGTGTATACAGGCGACTACATTTTAGTGGTTGCTGGGAATGTTTTTGGAGCGTATTTAGGGGCGAAAATTGAAAAGTGTGTCATATATTTAATAATTTGAACGATATTTGCAATGCAGTTTGCTTTTACAGAATATGGTGAAAATAACAAACCAATATCTTGAAATTTTAGTTCCCGTGGACAACGCCCTTTTGGCGAAACAAAAGCGAACACTGATTGCAATTTTTTTCCTTTATCAATTGAAGCACCTCTTTTAAAACTACCGACACACCCAGTTTTCCAAATTAAAGTCATTGCTGTGGCACTTCCTTCTGCGAAAAATCGAAGATGTGCGCAAGCTTTTCTGAGCGGAGGTATTGAAGTTGAACGAAGTGGTTCATCTGTTTATTAACCAATTATACTACAGCTTCTTTTGGAATTCCTCAATATGCTTTGAAAATTAACACAAAACGATAACAAAAGAAACCATTAACTTTTGCTTACAGTACACGCGGTAGCTCTAGAGGATTGGAATTATCCTTTAAGTGTCGCCTGATTGAGGACGCGTTCATGCATATCTCTTCCTCCTAAACAAATAATTGTGATAAATTTAGCCTTATTTCTGTCTTTTCTTTAAAACTCTTTATTTTAATAATTTAATTTTACTCGCACAGCTTGTTTGCAGCCGCTTGCTGGTTGTTGAACTTTCAAATTTCGATTATCGATAACTCTACAGCAACTGACGATAGTTGCCATTCGTAATACAAATTTTCTTTCCAGTTGCATTGCCAACTGACAATCGAAGCGTGGTTGTGTTGCCATCCGTAATCGACCCATTAATTTTTCAAGATATGGGCTGACTTGAAAAGTCGGACAAAAAAGAAGATTACCGAAAACACACGAAGACTTACTGCTGCCGGTGGNACGAAGCCTTACTGCTACCGGTGGTGGCCCATTCCGTCACTCTCCGCTTTCCGAAATGGGGCAGGCCATAGACAGCCTGGTTTTTATTTCAAGGTCAGCAGCCCCGAGCGGCAGAGTTTTCGGCATTCCTTCGACGGCGACCTCTAACATGTCAAGACATTCGTCGTTGGAGGAAATGCCTCCTTTACTTGTAACTGAATCGCCAACACTTGACCAACGAAAGCAACAAACAACCACCCTTCAATCTCCTATAAGGCACAACCAACCACCACCAGTGGGAGTAGTGACTCCCACTACACAGACAACCCGTCCTACACCAACGCACACGTTACGTTCCACTAATAGGAAGCGCACCTTCCAAGAGACAGTGGCTGAATCTGCCAAAGTCCAAGCAGAAGCCGCTAAAGTGCAGGCTGAGGCTGCAAAAAAAATGGCAGAGGCATCAATGCTGCAGGTGGATGCCACAAACAAATTAACTGCTGCGGTGGAACGCCAATCTGCAATTTTTGAAAAATGTTTGGAGTACTTCCGGAATTAATTTGCATACCACTATTGTGAGAGTATTGAAGTGATATTTTGTTTTTTTTTTTTT